GGGAAGAGGCATGCCGAAAGACGATGGAGGAGGAGCGAATGGGAGGAGGAGAATGAGAGGGCATGCGCAGCCCCCCGTGCCCTCTCCCTCCTCGTCCACCTCCCCCTTTTCGCCCCCCCCTCGCCCTCCGCCCCCCTCCTCGCCCTCCTCGTCCACCTCCCCCCCCCTCCTCGTCCACCTCCCCCTCTTCACCCTCCGCCCCCTCCTCGCCCTCCTCGCCCGTCGGGTTCCGCTCCGATCCGAGCTCGTTGTGGTCCTCACGATGCCGAGATCCCGATTCTGTTCTGACGCTGTTGCCCGGTGCCGATTCCGATGTCGATGTGATCTTGGGATCCCGATTTTGGTCCAGCGCAGTTCTGCTTCCAGCCTCTGTCGCTCACGGCGTGCCGAAGACGACGAAGCGAAGGCGACGACGGCGGGCCCCACCAGCAAGGGGCCCCCAGCAAGGGGCTCCCCTGGCAAGGACGCCCCCCCCCCAGCAAGTGACCCCCCATCCCCGGCCAGGCCCCCAGCAAGGGCCCCTCCCAAGCAAGACAGCCCCTCCCAGCAAGGGGCTCCAGAGGGGGTCTCGGAAGCTTTCTTCGTCCTCCTGCTCTTGCCTCCTTTTTCCTTTGCCCTTGGTCCTGCCGTTGCCTTCCCTCTCTCCCCCCCTTCGGTAGCGGATCTCGATTATGAGCTCGGTTCTTGTATGGCGGATTCGACTCCTTTTCTGGTCCAAGGGACAGTCGAGATTCCGTTTCCGGTCCGCTCCGACGCGCGGTTTTCTGCTTCATCCGATCCGGTTTTTCGCCGATCCGACTTCGAGTTTTCGATCCGATGGCGGGTGGCCCTGGTCAATTCCCCCAGCGACGGCGACCGACGACGACGGCGGCGATGGCGATCGACGACGAAGGCAGCGGCGGTGGCGAGAAATACGGCGATGGTCGCGGCGGCGGGGGCGCGGACATCCGATGCCTTGATTTTTTTTCACAGCGTGGTCCCTGGAAGTTCTGGCCCCTGCCAGCTTCTCCCGCCGAGTTGTGTCTGGGGAGCGACGGCAGCGGTCGGGGGGTGTCTGAGGAGCGGCGGCAGCGCGCGGTGTTCTTTTGTTTTGAGCCGCGGATGTTGGATGTTTCGATCCGCCAGATGCTTGTGCAAGCGGCCGCGGCTGCCGACGTCTGTCGGCGGATGGGGCGGAGGAGGGAGTTGATAGAGTAGCGATGTTGTTGATGATGATGATGATGATGATGATGATGATGGTGGTGGTGGTGGTGGTGGTGGTGGTGGTGGTGGTTGTGGTGGTGATGATGATGGTGGTGGTGGTGGTTGTGGTGGTGATGATGATGGTGGTGGTGGTGGTTGTGATGGTGGTGATGGTGATGATGGTAATGATGGTGACGATGCTGATTATGATGTTGATGCTGATGATGATGACGATGATGATGGTGATGATGATGATGATGATGTGGTTATGGTGATGGTTATGGTGATGGTGATGATTAAGAGGATGAGGATGAGGCTGAGGCTGAGGATGATGATGAGGATGAGGATGATGATGAGGATGATGTTAATTATGATGCTGAACATGATAATGATAATGATATTGCTGATGATGATGATGGAGATGATGAGGATGATGATTATTATCATAGTGATTACGAAGAGGATGCTGATGATAATGATTATGATGGTGATGATGATGCTGATGATGATGATGCTGATTATGATTATGATGATACTGATGATGATGGTGCTGATGCTGATGCTGATGCTGATGCTGCTGATGATGAGACGATGATGGTGATGCCGATGATGACGACGATGTTGATCATGCTGATGATACGGATGATTATGATGATGATGATGATGATGATGATGATGATGATGATGATGATGATGATGATGATGATGATGATGATATTGATGCTGATGCTGCTGGTGATGATGATGCTGATCATGATTATGATTCAAACGATGATTATTGTGATGATGCTGATGCTGCTGCTGATGATAATGGCTATGATTATAATTAAGCTGATGATGCTGAGGATGATGATGAGGGTGATGATGATGCTGCTGATGATGCTGCTGGTGATGATGACGATGATGATGATGATGATGACGACGACGACCATGATGATGATGATGACGATGATGATGATCATGAACATGATGCTGATGATGATGCTGATGATGATGATGATGGTGATGATGATGTAGACGCTGCATATTATAACGATGATGCTGATGATGATGCTGATGATGATGATCAGGATGATGATGATGATGATGATGATGATGATGATGATGATGATGATGATGATGATGATGATGATGATGATGATGATGATGATGATGATGATGATGATGATGATGATGATGATGATGATGATGATGATGATGATGATGATGATGATGCTGATGCTGATGCTGATGTGATGCTGATGCTGATGCTGATGCTAGGAGGAGGAGGAGGAGTCAACATAGCCAGGTCGAGCGTAGGAGGAGGGGGAGGAGGAGGAGGAGGAGGAGGAGGGAGGAGGAGGAGGAGGAGGAGGAGGAGGAGGAGGGGGGAGATAAGGATGGGGAGGAGGAGCGGGAAGGGGAGGAGCAGGAGGAGGAGGAGGAGGAGGAGGAGGAGGAGATCCGTGGCCATGTTGGCTCAAGTCCGTAGCGTTTTGCTCAGGACCTGCCCTTTCTGGCGAGGGGGATTTGCGGCCCCCACAGTCCTCCACTCCTCTCTGCAAGGTCAGGCGAGAGTCAGTTGTTTTTGTTACGTGAGCTCCTGGCGGAGCACATTGCTTTTGTCCCAGCATTCCATGGGCAGCAGTCGCGGCGATGTCTGGTGCTGCCCGCGGAAGAAGTGCGATCTCAAGACCAATTTCTCGTACAAAAAACATTGTCGCAAATGTGGCGCTGAGCGTCCTCCTGTGCCTGGCTCTCCTCCTGTGCAGCCAGCTCAAGGAGCCTGGGCCAACGGGGCGCCGCGGCCCACGGAGCCCAAAGCCAAACCCAAATTGCTCGACGCCACTCAGCTCGCCGTTTTTGTCGAGATGTCCAATGATGCTTTTGAGACCTCCAAGGCGCTATTGGGACCGAGCCAGCTTGCGCGAGTTTTGGCTTGGTGGGCGCTTGCTGCAGGTGGCCACAAGGCGTTTGCCAAACAACATGCCCAGGTGGCCTATGATGAGGCTAAGCGCGATGTCTTGCAGGTGGAGCCGAAGGTTGGCAAGCTCGAACATCTGGTCCAAGAGAAGTTCATGGAGCTGGTTGCGCTCAAGGCCAAGCTCGAGCAGTTGCAGGAGCACGGGCGCGCTTGTGCGACCGAGGCCACGGCTGCGTGGGCTGGAGCCAGTGGTGGATCTACTCGTGGGCGCTGCAAGCGTGGAGGCGGCGCTGAGGTATCTCCTGATGATCCTGGCTTTGCCCTGCGGCTGCAGTTCGAATCCTCGGACACGGCTCTGGCAACCTCGCTGCGCTCTCTCATGGCTACTCGGGGCGGCATGCTGCAGCCCACTTCCGTGGACGGGGATCACAGCGACGACGATGAGAGCGAGGATGACGGCGACCGCGTGGCTGATGCGCCTGAGCCGAGGCCGCTCACTGTCGAGGCTGCCGCCGAGGCCATCTTTGGAGGAGATGGCATCGGGTCGGCGGCTTCGCCCTTTGCCACAGGCGCTGCGCCTGCCATCCTTGCGCCGAACGCGGGGGGAGCGGGCGAGGGGGGGTCAGCGCATCCGCATAAGGAGCAGTTGGCGGCCAGCGAGTTGCCAAGCAGTTCTCCTCTTTCCTTGAGCGGCTCACCTCGGATGAATGTTGGGGCGCGCTCCTCTCGTCCAAGGGTCCCCCGAGGAAACAGTTTGACAGCGTCATCGGTGGCCTCAGCGATGCCGCTCAGAAGAAGATCAAGATGACACCATTCGACACTCCGTTTGGTCCTGCTGTTTCAGCTGCAGTTGCTGGATCGAGTATTTCGCCCCAAGTCAGGCAAGCCTTGGTCTTTTACCGCGGCCAACGTCGGAGGCCAGGTCGGCTTCGACGCCGGCAATCGCAAGGCCGATGAGGCCGCCAAGAGTGCTGCTGCCTATGCCCGTGTGCCAGCCGAATCGGTTGCTCAGTTGAAGGCTCGGTGTAAAGTTCTCCGTGCCTGGGGTTCCTGGATCGGGCGTCTTGGGGATAGTCTGGACGACTGCGGGCGCCCTAAGAGGCGCAACCGTGGAAAGCCGCCTGTTCCCCAGCTCATCCTGGTTCGGGACCCTGTGCCGCCGTCCGATGGTGTGTTCAGATTGTTGACTGCGGCATGCCCGTGTCAAAATCCAGCTGCAAGACGGTCCGACTGTGGTTAGACGCACCCGCTGTGCTTGCTCTGCTGCGGTTCGGGTTTCGCTCCTCGGTGCGCCTTGTCCTCCTCAGGTCTCTGATTACGGGAGGAGGTGCCTCACCATATTGGCGAACAATCGTGAATTCAGGCTCGATGGGAGGTGTATCGAGTGCTTTCGCAGGATCGGCTGTGATCCACCTTGTCTGTGCAGGCCCTGGCTTTGCCTGCTGTCTGTCACTGGCGCCACCTCTGTCGGTGCTGTTGTCCGAGTCGTGTGGCCAAAGGCGGTTGCAAGGTGCGCCTTTCGCCACGCGTTTCACTGCCGGCTGGCGGTTGGCAGTCCCTGTCGCTCGCTAGGTTGTGCCCACGCGGAGCAGCAGGAGGAGGAGGAGGCGGAGGAGGAGGAGGAGGAGGAGGAGGAGGAGGAGGAGGGGGAGGAGGAGGAGGAGGAGGAGGAGGAGGAGGAGGCAGGAGGAGGAGCAGGAGCAGGAGGAGGAGGAGGAGGAGGAGGGAGGAGGAGGAGGAGGAGGAGGAGGAGGAGGAACAGCAGGGGAGGAACAGCAGGAGGAGCAGGAGGAGGAGGAGGAGCAGCAGGAGCAGGAGGAGGAGGAGGAGGAGGAGGAGGAAGAGGAAAAGGAGTGGGAGGAAGAAGAGGAGTAGGAGGAGGGGCGACGAGTGAAAGTCTCCTCCCCTGGCGCAGCTGGGCGGCTGCTCGCTCCAGGGCCTGGCTGTCGGAGCTCAAGGGGCTCTGCCGGGCGGCGGCTGGCAGGACGGCAACCCTTGGCGCCGTATGCGGTCACGGGGGATCGTCTGGGGATCGTTGTTCCTCCTCCTACTCCTCGTTCCGGTTCGTCCTCCTCCTCCTCCTCCTCCTCCTCCTCCTCCTCCTTAGCCCGTCCTTTTTCTCCTCTTCTCCTTTCCTCTCCTCTTCTCTCCTCTCCTTCCTCTCCTCCTCCTCCTCCTCCTCCTCCTCCTCGCCAGCCTCCTCCTCGTCACCATTCGATGCACTCTGAGTAGGAGATGTCATCGCCCCTCAGTCGGGGCAGATCGCCCAGAGACGCACGCGAATGTTGGCCACTCCAGGGGGTGCGCCAGCCGGGACGGATAGCGGGGGCGACGGCGACGGCAGTGGCGTCGCCCGCGAGCGGGGCAACACCGGGCGCCCCGCGCCGCAGCCCGCGCTTGGACCCTCCGCCTGGACTCGTCTTCCTCCTCCTCCCCCCACCTTCGGCCGTCTTCCAGCCAGATGCCGTTCTGTCAGGTAACTCGGTCCCGCGCACACGGATTGAGCAAATGCACGCGTGTGTTGTAGCAGTTGGACTTCCTTTGTTTCCCATGCCGTTTTTTTGTCTTATGGGGGTTTTATTCTACAGGCTTACGCCACATCCGCCGACCCCTTCTGTGATTGTTGCGAGGCCAGGAGTTTCTGACCAGCGGCGTCTTGTGTGAGGGTGCGGTGTCGCGCGCGGGTGGTGGCAGACACGTAGGGGGTCAAAATGTTTGCGTGATGCCGGTGGTCTGGGGCGTGTTCTGCGAGCGCCTTGCGTGCTGTGCACCCGGGTGCGGGGTGTCCTTTTGGGAGGTCGGCCTTTCGACCCGCAGCCAAGTGGAGGACCACCGGAAGACGAAAGGAGCAAGAGTAGCGTGCGGAAGCTGTGATCAGCGAAGCATCACCGCGAAAGATGTGGCAGATGAGTCGAAACGGGTGAGGAGGCTGTTGACGTTCGCAGCGCGCACGAAACAGGTCGCGTGGCAGCAGCACATTAGCGCCGAGCAAGATTGTGAGCACGTCGCGAGGAAGAGCAAGGCTGCATGCGCGGAATGCATTGCAGCTGGCTTGACGGCTCGCAATGCGGAAGCGTCTGGGGGTCTTTTGGAGGCCTCCTGGGGGCCTCTTGGGGGCTCCTTGGGGCGTCTTGGCGGCCTCTCGGGGGCCTCTGGCGGCTCCTTGGGGCACTCTTGGGGCCCCCTGAGGCTCGTGGGGGCGGAATATGGGGGTTTTATTTCGTTGTCTAAGCCTGACCGTCGGTCTGGCGGCCATGTTGTCGCCGTCGCCGCCCCATCGCCGCCTCGTCGCCGCCTGTCGTCTGGGCCTGGCCGTCCATCTGGCGGCTGTGTCGTCGCCGTCGCTGCCACGTCGCGTCCTCGTCGCCACCCGTCGCCAGGGCCTGACCGTCGGTCTGACGGCTATGTTGTCGCCGTCGCCGCCCCGCCGCCGCTTACATTATACATTGCACCGCACATATTGTTCCACGTAGATCGCACCAGGTAGATTGCTCCACGTGGAGCGCACCACATAGGCTGCGCAACACATGTGAGGCCTTCCAGAAAGGGCCTCGCCTACGCTGGCCAAGATTCATTTTCAAACGCTTGCCGCAGGAAGGGGGGCCAGGACCCGTCATCTGCGGCCAAATCCATTAAAGCACAGGCGAAGCAGGCTGTCGCCTGTCAGGCAGGGATCTTGAACTTGCTGCGCTGTTGGGCCGCCCGTTCGGGGTTTTGTCGGCGTCGGCTTCGGCTGGATTCGGTCCCTTGCCTGCGCCCCCCCCCTCTGAGCGCCGCCCTCGCCGATGGTTCACTCCCTCGCGCAATCGCGCGAGAGCGACGCATGAAGAGAGGGGTCGACTGCGCGGCTGTTGCGAAGGCCCTGCGGCCGGTGCCGCCGACCCTGAATGGCGACGAGCGACGACGACGGCGACGACGACGACGACGAGCGACGACGACGAGCGACGACGACGCGCGACGCGTGCAGACGGGCTCGCCTGCGCGGCCAGCTGCACGCGGGAGCGGCCCCTGCGCGGGAGGGCATGGCGCACGCGCGCCCCCTCGTTCTCGATGTGGCGTGTGCCGCGCCGGCGGGCCGCGTCGGGCACCGCGCCATGGCGCTAGATCATCGTTCCCCTCCCCTCCTCCTCCTCCTCCTCCTCCTCCTCCTCCTCCTCCTCCTCCTCTTCCTCCTCCTCCTCCTCCTCCTCTCCTCCTCCTCCTCCTCCCCCTCCTCCTCCTCCTCCTCCTCCTCCTCCTCCTCCTCCTCCTTTATTAACCACCGGTGGGGACGCGCGGTCGCACTGACGAACATGCATAAAGGACGACCCACTCAACGTGCGGCATCAGGGGCATAGTAATCCCGCACATGCTGCTCATAAAATGGGTCCAGTGGCATCCGAAACGGAGCCATCACGTCCGACAGCTCGGGAAATGGCACGCGCTGAAGCTGGTAGCGGCAGGCATCAGTCGCCATAGCATTTGCAAGCAGCTTACACAACTCCGCGGGATACTGTTTGGCCGCGGAGGATACACACTGCTCATTATCCTCCTCCTCCTCCTCCTCCTCCTCCTCCTCCTCCTCCTCCTCCCTCCTCCTCCTCTCCTCCTCCTCCTCCTCCTCCTCCTCCTCCTCCTCCTCCTCCTCCTCCTCCTCCTCCCATCGACGTTCGTTGTCGCATGCCCTTTAGTCCTTTAGTCCTTTAGTCCTCCGGGGTCGGCGGCAGACGCTTCACCAACCAACGGTTCACTGCAGTGGAGGCCCATGCCAAGAAGCACCCTGCTTGCCTTCAGGGTGCCCTGGGATTCTTGGGTTTCGATGGTTCTGCGATGGAAAGCGCGACGCTCCCACGCCAAAAATCGATGGACGTACTGGAGTCTCAGGGTTGGGTTCCTTGTGGAAGGTTTCTTGTGGACTGGCCTCCACTGTCAGACCCCGCCTCTGTCGTCGCGCACGTGCTGTCAGGCTTCGTTCGCTGTGCGGCGTTGTTCATGCAGCTCGGCAGCGCTGCTCGCGCAGTCGGCGCTTCTCATGTACACTTTCGAGGGGCGGTGAGGGCTCGGGGCACGCGGTTGTCCTGTGTGGGAGGGTGTGTCTTGCAGCCAAGTAAACATGTGCCTCGCATGTGTCAGGGGCAACGTTTGGGGGGGGATAGGCTCAAGGGGGAATACATCGACTCCCACTCGCCCATTTATCGCCGATAGGGGCCTGATAGTCGTGCATTACTCGAACCTGCGAATTCGCTGTGGGAAGCGCATTTCATTACCTATCGGCGATGTATCGCCGATTCAAGCTCGATGTTTCCCCCTGTGAGCAGGTCCCCAACGGTTGTGTTTTGAAAGCAAGCTCTCCTGGCACTATCCTTTGTTCTTGTGTGGGGTCTCTCGAGTTGTCATTCTGCAGACGCTGGGATTCAATGCTGCTGTCGCGGTTGCATTGCTGTGGTGTCGTCCCATTCGCAGCGCACTCGGCACACGTGACTTTACACGTCATGCTAAGATGCGTCCTTTGTTGTTGCACCATTGTGGCAATGGTGATCCAGTCACGCGGATCCCACACGATAGGATCCCGCCGAGTACGGCCCCACCTTGTATGGTAGCCTTCTCTCACTCCAGGCTTGCCTGCCTCTCTGCCTCTGCTGCTTCCCTCTCTTCAGGAGGAGAAAGATAAGGATGATGAAAAGGAGAAGAAAGGGGAGGCAGGGTATGGAAGGGAAGTAGGGCCAGGATGACGGCGAGGAAGAGGGTCGTAAGCACTCCAGTCCTCGCTTCGTCTTCGTCCTCGTCCAAGTCCTCGCCCCTGCGCTTAGAAAGAGGGGAAGGACGACGACGGCGGTGGCGGCGGCTGAGACGGCGGCGGCGACGGTGGTGGCGATGGCGGCGGCGTCGGCGGCTGCGAGGGGCGCCCTGGGCTGCCGGTGGTCCTCTGGCGAGCTGTGGGGATGCGGCCCGGCGGGCTGGCGCGGCGCGCTGCTGCGCTGCTTCGCCGCGGGGCTGGCGGACTCCAGGGAGGGACGCTCCTTCAGGGAAGGAGAAGTCACCGATGCCGCTGCGATGCGTACTGTTTTTTTAACCCTCTGTCGCGTGACGGCCGTCACCCGGGCCAACCCCCCCTTCTCGCCCCCCTCCCCCTGGTGACGGCAACGATCGTGCGCAGGCAGGGAGGGGAGGGCTTGGGGCTTGGACCCCCCCTTGCTGGTGCTCGTGTGCAGACTATGGCGACTGCAGCGCACCACCGCCCCGACGAGCTCCATCCCGCCCAAGCGTTGCCAGTGCTCGGGGGCCCCACCCCTCCCCCCGGGTAATCGGCGACTTGGATCCGTCACGTGACGCGAATCGGAGGAGGAGTAAGAGGAGGAGGAGGAGGAGGAGGAGGAGGAGGAGGAGGAGGAGGAGGAGGAGGAGGAGGAAGAGGAGGAGGAGGAGGAGGAGGATATAAAGAGGAGGAAGGGGAGGGGGATTCGGCGGGGAGGGGGGAACTTTGCATCACGTGACGACATCCCTCCGTCTAGGGTAACGACCGTTCCCGGCAACAGTATACAAAAGACGTCAGCCCTTCCGTGATTTTTGCGCGAATCTGGGCCTCCTGGGAGGCCTTCGTCGCCACGACTGGGGTCGCCTCGAAATGATACTGACCAGAGCGCACCCCAGAAGAGGACCAGGGAGTAGCGTTACGTCGGGCACATCCCTCTACAGAAGGAATATTCAAAAATAGTTCAGAAATAGTATGGGGAGGATTTTTCTAGCATTTTTGATCATTTTAAAGTATTTCCTGAGTATTTGTTCTTGTCGTCCACAATGCGCCTGTTGGAGGACATGCCCGACCTAAGAGTGGCGGTGCTGGTATCTTCTTGCCCTCCCAGGTCTCTCCGTTGGCCCGCCCGCGATGTCTCGGAGTCCTTTGTGGACCCTTGGAGGCGAGGAGGCCCCTCGGAGACCCCCCGGGGGGGGGGGGCAGCTCGTCGTCGTGCATGGTCGCCGTCGGCGTTCGGTAGGGCCCGGGGCCGCGCGCGGGACAGGCCCTCAGAGGAGGAGAAGGAGGAGGAGGAGGAGGAGGAGGAGGAGGAGGAGGAGGAGGGGGGAGGGGGAGGGGGAGGGGAGGAGGAGGAGGAGGAGGAGGAGAGGAGGAGGGAGGAGGAGGAGGAGGAGGAGGAGGAGGAGGAGGAGCAGAGGAGGAGGGAGGAAGAAGGAGGAGGAGGGGGGGGGAGGAGGCCGAGAAGGAGGGGGAGGACTCGGGGTAGTCCCGCCTGGCCTCGACAGGCTCCTGGAGCAGGCCGGGCCGGCCTCGACGCCCCGGCGCCACTCCTGGCGGCGCCCCGGGGCACGCCGCGCCCCGGGGTCGCGGTGCCGAGGTCGACCCGGGATTCTCGGGGGGGCCCACCGAGGCCAGGCGGGACTCCTTCGGGAGGGAGGGCTGCGAGCCTTGCCCGTCTGCCGCGTCGTCGTCGTCGTCGTCGTCGTCGTCGTCGTCGTCGTCGTCGTCCTCGTCGTCGTCGTCGTCGTCGTCGTCGTCGTCGTCGTCGTCGTCGTCGTCGTCGTCGTCGTCGTCGTCGCCTCGTCCTCGTCTTCCTCCTGCCTCCCGCCTTCCTTGCCTCCTCCATCCGCCCCCTCCTCTCCCCCGCACTCCCCCCCCCCCCTCCTCCTCCTCGCGCGTCCCCGGGGGGAGGAGCGGAGACGGGGAGGGGGGGGGGCGAAGGGGGGCCAGACCAGACGCGTGCCGCTTCTTCGGGGGCCTGCTGTCGGCGGCCTGCCCACGGTGGAATGGAGAAGGCAGAGGGGGCTGGTCTTCTGAGAAGGTGGCGGGGCTTCCCACCCTGACCCTCCAGGAGGGCAAAAAAATGGCACCCGACTGAAAAACCTATCCCAGAGCTGCTCTACGTCTTGGTTTTTAGGCTGTTTCGCCCCGCTTCTGAGGTTTTTAGGCCCCCAGTGCCAAAAAGTAGCTCCCTGGAGGGTCAGGGCAGACCCCCCCCCCCCCCCCCCGCGTTCCGCCCAAGCCTTCTCGGACCTCCTCCGAGGCCGCCGAGGGCTCCTCGAACGGCGGGCGCGGGCCTCCGAGAGGCCACCCGCCGCCCTGCGAGCACGGGCCCGTCGCCCTCGGCCTCCTTCCCCCCCGGGCGGGCCGCCGGGCCCTTGGAGCCCTCGTCGACACGGCGGGATGCGCAGCCGAGTCCTGGCAGCTGCGGCAGGAGTGCGTTGGAGGGGAAAAAGCACACAGGCACAATTCATCGTCGATTCCCCCGAGAATATGGGAAGGTATGGGAAGTGGGCGGGAAGACGGAAACCCAGGACATATTGGAAAATATGGGGAATCTTTTTATTTGTGTGTATTTATTTGTGTGTCCCGGGGCCCCTTCAGATGTGGGAGAGGGCCAGGGGGGGGGAGGAGGAGGTCTACGAGGTGATCACCACCAAGTTCGGGAGCCTCCCTTGCCGAGGGGAGATTGCCGGCCATCTCGACGGTGGCACAAACAGAACCTGTGTGATGTCTAAGTGTTACCACTAACGCCAACATCGTGGGTCAGCCCCCCGCTCCTCCTTGATGTGTGGTGCCCTCCCGCCTTGGTGAACATTGGAGGTTGAGTGGGCAAGGCCGAAGTGAAACGGAGGCCCCTCAGGATGCCCCCAACAGGGACATCGGTTTGGGTTTCGGCTCGTGCCGTGCGTGCGGGCGAGGCGACGCTGCGCAATGGGCGGCAGTGATCTTGCCTTAGCTGGGCTCGGGCCACGCCAAAAGGAGTCGCGTCGGCCAGGGCGTGCCCCGGGGTTGCCCCGTGGATGTCCCGTAGTTGGCCCTTGGCGCGCCCGCGGTTGTTCCGTGGTTGTCCCGAGGTCGCCCCGTGGTCTCTCCCGTGGTTCTCCCCGTGGTCTTCCGGCATAAACGTCAGCTTTCGGTGCTCCGTGTGTTTTTTGGGGGGTTCGGCGCCAGGCCCCCCCTGGCGGCGCCTCCAGCGCCGCCCCTGGCGCGCTCCGCGCGCCAGGGAGGGGGCTCCAGCGCCGACCAAGAGATCCATGCGGAGTTCCGAGCATTTGTGTTTGTGCCGTTGTTCGTCCTCCAGCTGGTCCCATGAATGGCCCGTGGTGGTTCCGTGGCCGTGTCGCGGCTGTTCTGTGGATGTTTGGCGGGTGTGCTTTCTATGGATAGGCGATCGTGGGACCGACACGCGTACTGCGAGATCGATGCATCAGTTGATCGTGAGATGGGTACATATTTCATGAGACCGATGGGTCGAAGGATTGGTAGTGAGACAGATCGGCAACAGCTGAGGCCGACACGTCGTGAACTGCGCATGCACTCGTCATGGGCCTAGTAAATGCCTGGGCAAGATCGGTGTATGTGCACGCTTCGGCGGCGCGCCCAGGGTGGGACGCGAGGGGGGGGGGACAGGCCTTCTCAGAACGCGGCGGGGCTTCTCAGAAGCCCTTTCTGGCCTTCTGAGAGAAGTTTTCTGTGCCCTCGGAGAAAGCTCAGAACTCTTCTCAGAAGGCCCGAGGCCTCTCGAGCCTTGTGAGGAGGCCCGCTCCCTCTCTTTTTCCCCCGGGCTCGCCGCCGATCTCTTTCGCCTGCTCGAGGGGGCCTCCCCTGGAAACCCATCGACCCGCTCGCCGCTCGCGGGCCGCCCCCGGCCGGCGCCCCGCCCGCAGGACCTGCGTTTCGCGCGCGTGGAGTGGTGGGGTGACGCAGGCCGCGGCTACGCAGTCCTCTTTCCTCCCTGCGGACCCGCATCAGCATCATCATCATCATCATCATCATCATCATCATCATCACCATCATCATCATCAGCATCATCAGCATCATCCTCATATCATCATCATCATCATCACCACCATCATCATCAGCATCAGCATCAGCATCAGCATCAGCATCAGCATCATCGTCATCGTCATCGTCATCATCATCACCATCATCTCCATCACCATCATCACCATCATCATAATCAGCATCATCATTACTATCATCATCATCAGCATAATCATCATCACCATCACCACCACTATCATTATCACCACTACCATCACCATCACCATCACCATCACCTTCACCATCACCATCACCATCACCATCATCATCAGCATCAGCAGCATCATCATCATTATCATCATCATCATCATCATCATCATCATCATCATCATCATCATCATCATCATCATCCTCGGCAGCATCATCGGCAGCATCATCCGCATCATCCGAATCACCATCACCAGCACCATCACCTTCACCATCACCATCACCAGCATCATCATCATCAGCAGCAGCAGCATCATCATCATCATCATAATCATCATCGTAATCGTCATTGCCATCGTCATCGTCATCGTCATCGTCATTATCGTCATCAGCACCAGCACTAGCACCAGCACCAGCACCAGCATCAGCATCATCACCCTTCTGTTCGTCCTCTCTCTTGCCCCTTCTCCTCTCCCGTCCTCCTCCTCCTCCTCCTTTTCCACCTCCTCCTCCTCCTCCTCCTCCTCCTCCTCCTCCTCCTCCTCCTCCTCCTCCTCCTCCTCCCCTCAGGACCATCTGGGTGGAAGCTCGTCGTCGCAGGCCCCCGCCGCTGTCGCTCCGATGCCTGGTGCGCAGGATGCCGACGCCTGCCGTGTGCGAGTGTCGCAGGACGCCCTCCACGGCGCGCTCCTGGCGACGCACGCCGCTGCTGGGCCGACGAGCGAGTGCCGCGAGGCCCAGCGCCTCGCCCGCGCGTCGCCGAAGGCCTCTTGCGGGCGGCCGTCGCGGCCTTGGCGCCGCCGCCCGTGCCCGCCGCGTCTCCCACGGCGGCGGCTTCGCCCGCTGCTGCCTGTCGGCGGCGGCGCCGCCCGCGCGGGCGAGGAGGGCGTGCGGGTGCGGATTCGGCGGCGCGGGCGACGGCGATGCAGCTGGACGCGGAGGCGCTGGATTTTGGGGCGGGCGTTTGGCTGGACGACGCGGCGCAGGGCAGGGTCCAAGACGGGCGAGGGCGGCCCGAAGCACCCCTGGCTGCGACGAGGGACGGCGACCGCCTGCGTCCCCGTGCTGGCTGTGATGGGGCGGCTCTACGGCGACCCCGAGGAGACGGAAGAGGGCGGCCACGTGTGCGTCTTGGCAGGACAAATACCGCCGTGCGGTCGCGTGGCCCATCGCCGTCGAGGACGTGGAGCCGTTCGGGGAGCTGGTGCCAGCGCGCGGCTCCGGAGCGGCGGGGGGGGACGATGATGCCCTATGAAGCCGTCATCCCCCCTCAGCGTCTTCCTCTTCGGCCTCGCGGTGCTGTTCGGCTCGTTGTGGCACCTCGGCACCATTCTTGCGCTGTTCCTCGGCATCCGAGGGCGTGGCGCAGGATCCCGACTGTGGGATAGTTTTTTTGTTTCTCCTCCTCCTCCTCCTCCTCCTCCTCCTCCTCCTCCTCCTCTTATCCTGAAGCCATCGGAACAACATGCCCCACACGTTCGTGCACACGGGCCCATTCCTCCGCTTTTTCCCTCTTCTCCTCCCTCCTCACCTCGCCATGCGCCCCTCGCTCGTCCTCGCCCCTCGCCCTCTTCCTTATTCCACTCTCCTCCTCCGCCTCCGCCTCGACCCCTCCCCCCGCCTCCTCCCTCCTGCTCCAAGCTACCATCCTGAAACTTCATCCTCCCTTCTCCTCCTCCCTTTTCTTCCCTCCTCCTCCTTTTCCTGCCTCCTCCTCCTCCTCCTCCTCCTCCTCCTCCTCCTCCTCCTCCTTCATTCTCCCCCCTCCCCGCAGCAAGCGCCGCGCCCAACTAAAGTCAGGCGCGAGCGATTGTTGGTCGGAGCGTTCAGGAGAGCACTGCGCCTCCTTCGCTGCTCTGCGTGAAACAGATCCCCCCCCGTACTCGTGAGTGGAACGCATATTTGCATCCGCGGCCTCGCGGGCTGGGGCCCTGTGCCGCGACCCCGCGGATATGCAGTGTTTGTTCGCGGATGCCCCGCGCGGAAACGTGCCCGTGCGACCGCGTGCCCGCGGGATCGCGCCCCAGGGGTCACACCGCGAGGACGCCCCTCGGGGCCCCCCAGGCCGTTCCAGCCGCCGCCGGCGAAGTATGAGGTCGCGTCCAAAGCCCAGCCGCCGTCGCCAGAGGCGCCACCGCCGCCCGAGGGCTGGAGAGTCATCATCGACCAGAGCGCCGACTCCGAGGAGGACACCGTGCGCACCGTGGACCGAGCAGAGTAGGTGGCTTGGCGCAAGCTGCTGGCGTAGGAGATGGAGGACGATGCTGCGACGGTCGACCGCTTCATCACGAGCTGGCGCAGCAGCCAGCCTCTCACCGAGGCCATGGCCAGGCTGTGCCTGTTCGGCCGCGGCTCGATGGAGTGCCGCGCTTGAGTCGCCCCGACGCATGAGTTGCGGATCCTGCAGTCAAGCGACGTGGGCCCGAACGTCCGTCCGACCGTGGACGGAGAGGCACGGCGCCCGAAGATCCTTTTTGCTCTACGCGGAGGCTTGCCGGCCGTGGGGCACGCGCGCTCTCAACCGAGGACAGGCTGGAGTGCCGCCGCCACTGGGCCCTGGCCGCCAGGAGCCCGCAGCCTAGCTCTGGCCTGGTCCCCACGGGGGTTGGGGACGGGCCGCGTGCTGGGGGCCGCCGCCGGCGATCGCGGTCCAAGCCCGCGCAGGCCGCCTCCACCGCTGGGCCCGCTGCCGAGGCGCGGCGACCGTCCGCGTCGGCCCTCGCAGCTCTGCGCGGGCGCGCCCGCGGTGGAGTTCCCGCCGGACCTTCAGCCCCCGCGGGGCCGACAGCCGCGTCCCGATCGGGCGCATCGGGCTTGCGAGGTGCGCGAGCGGGGCCCGGACGTCCCACGGCGGGGAGGACAGCAAAAACAGCCAGGAGAAGGGCACGGGCGCGCCCGAGGCCACGTCGCCCTCGCGGGCTTCGTCAACGTCGGTCAAAAAGGCCCGGCGCGGCGGCCTCGAATCCAAGCATGCCCGCGACTCACCCGGGCAGCCGCCTGCTCCGAGGCGCAGAATCCGGCTGCCGCGCAGGAGGCTGGCGATGGAGAGGCATCCTCGACAGAAGCTGCGGACGGCGGCGAGGAGCACAACCTGCAGGACGGGGAGTGAGCCCTGCCGGGCGAGGCGCAGCGCGGACCAGCCGCACGCCCTCAAGGAGTCTCCATCCTTCGCTGCTCTCACATACCAATCACAGGCAGTTTCCTCCGCATCCTCGCCTCCTCCGACTTCGGCGCCAACGCATCGCCGAGCCTGGCTTCCAGACCGCTGGCTTTCGGACGCGTTGTTCGCGGCGCGAGGTCTCCACAGACGCGGCGCATGGCAGTCTACGTCTCACCTATCCAGGCGAGCTGCTCTGTGCCCGTCCTAAAAAGCACGAGCGTGCTCACTGAGTGCAGTCGGTGAGCACGCTCTCCGCCCTGCCCGGCGCTCCTCCCAGGTGGCGGCCGGGTATTTTTGACGGGTTGGGATTGTGCGTGGGGGTTGGACAGATTTGGCATTCCTCTTTCTCGCTTCCGTTGCTCCGCCAAAGCTTTTCGATCGCCCGCGCATTCCCGACTCGAAATAGACGCCCGCAATCCTGACTCGAATCGGATGCTAGGTTGCCGCTTGGGCTCAAGCGCCGGCGCCACAGCTTCCATCTTTGAGAGGGGAAAACCTCTTTACATCTTACCGCATTCTCACCATGCTTTCACTATCGCATCACACACACCCGCAGTTCTAGTCCTCTCTCTCCTCCTCCTCCTCCTCCTCCTCCTCCCCTCCTCCTCCTCCTCCTCCTCCTCCTCCTCCTCCTCCTCCTCCTCCTCCTCCTCCCGCCTCCTCCTCCTCCTCCTCCTCCTGCCTCTCCTCTTTCTCACCATTCCTTATTAACGATACTCCTCCTTCCCCCTCTCCCCGGCCGATAGCCGCCCCCTTTGGGACGCCCCATCCTAACCGGGCAAAAACAATACAACATCACATTGTTTCGTCATGTTTCCTCTCAGCATGGACGTCCTGTCGTCCACTTCGATAATCCCTTGCAAAAAAGTGCGCACGCGCGCGTTCATGCCCAAATCATTCCAACACACACTGTGTCTGCAAGTGTGTTAAGATACAAGCCTAAACGTTCAGTTCTATTTCGTCGCAAATCTTCACAAGTCCAGCCCGCGTGCAATTGCTGCAATCATATCATAGGGAAACCAGACGATTGCGCTGATTTCGCTAAAACATGCCAGCGATATCATCACGCCGCGCGGTGCACTCGCGATGCTCTGTCATGCACCCAGGGCGCGAATCCTGTGCAACAAATACCACGCGGGCGACATGCGCGCGCGTCGCCGCGAGCGCATGTCCAAATCCTTCCAGAGTTGTCGCCATCATCGGCACCGTCGCTGGCCTTGTCGGCGTTGTCGCCATCATCGCGGGTCACGGGCTTCATCATGTCGCCACCATGGTCGACGTCATCATGCCATCGCGCCCGCCCAAGTCACCGACCTGCGCCGAGGTGCCCGCGCGCTGGTGCGGCCATTGGGACGCGCTGGGCCAGTCCCCATCGGCCACCGCAGTCGTGGCCGCAACAATGCTGCCATACCAGCTGGCCGATATGCGCTTGCGATGCGTTTTGCAAGCCAAGTTTCCTGGAGCTTCCTGGGGCTTCCTGGGGCTTCCTGCGCCTCGTGAGGTTTCCTGGAAGGGCTCCTGGCGTCTCCTGGGCCTCCCTGGGGCTTCCTGGGGAAGGACTCGCTGGGGCCTTCAGAGGACTCCTGGGGCTCCATGGGGTGTCCTGACAAATCCTGGGGTTTCCTAGGGCCCTCTCGAAGTTTCCTGGGTCCTCTTGGGGCACCCCCTTTTCGTGCTGGAGTGCCCGCGCGGCCTTTGAGACGAGCTGGGGGGCTCCCATCGGTAAACGCTGTCGCGGCCGCATCAGCTGTGCCAAACCAGGTCGCCGATGTGATCTCGGCTTCCGGTTGTGCAAACGCTGCTTCTTTTGTTGTGTGAGGGCGGGTGGGAAGGAGCATGCCATGCATGTCTCGTTCGCGCTGATGAATTTGAGTCCTACTCTTCCTCATTATCCTCCTCTTCCTCGTCCTCTTTCTCGTCCTCCTCCTCCTCCTCCTCCTCGTCCTCCTCCTCGTCGTCCTCCTCCTCCTCCTCCTCCTCCTCCGCTCACATCCTCCCGCATCCTCCCTCCTCCCCTTTTCCCTCTTCCGTCCTCGGGTGCCCTCCGAGACGGCCCGCCCGAGGTTGGACCTCCAGGCCCCGCTGCTGCCCGCCGTGCGGCGCCGGGGCTGGGCCGAGGCCCGGCCGACGGGCCAAACGAGGGGCGCCGACTGGGCCCGCGCGGTCGGGGTGGGCGCAGTACACCTTAGGCGATGCTTAAGAAAACTTACGTTTTCGGCCAGAGTCTCGATTATTCTTAATGTTTCAATGTAAATCCTACGAGTTTGATAGAAGTTTTGGGTTTTTATTCAAATTCTTAAGCACTTCGCAGGGTGTGGGTTCGGGCCGCGTTCACGCGGCGGCGACCCCATCGCGGGCGTTGGAAGCCGAACGGCAGGGCAGGCATTTGCGCGGCAGGGCCGCGTCGAGTCGACGCGGCGGCGACTTCGCCGCGGGCGGTCGAGGTTGAATGCCGCCAGTGGGCCAGAAGTGGCCAGCATGGAAGGATCTGGCGATCGGAGAGCCGCCGAGCGTTCAAGGTTGAAACGTCCACGCGATGTCAGAAGCCAGCGCCGGTGTCGTCACGCCATAAACCTGTTGCATCTTCTCCTGCGCCCCCCCGGGAGGATAATGGATAAATATTGTGGCCGGGGCCACGGCACTTCCTGGACACACTGAAATCGGGCCTGTCCTTCTACAGGAGGAATATTCAGAAATAGTCCAAAATCAATATGGGGATGATGTGTCTAGTATTTTGGGGTATTTTGTTGGATATGTTTTGGGGATCTTTTCAATTTTTCCTCCACAATCCGCCCGTAGGGGGACACGCCCGACCTAACACTGGGGGGACAATGGATCAATGCTGTGGCCGGGGCCACGGCACTTGCTGGACGCACTCCCTGCCCGCCTCTTCGTCCGCGCACCGGGCCTCGAGCCACGCTGCGCACCTCGCTCCCTTCCTGGCTTCTTCCCACTCGGGCACGCCCGCTCCTTCAGGGCTCCGGGGGGCGAAGTCCACTTGCTTCTACACGACCACTCTCTCGGGCCTGGCCTGTGCCAGATACCACTCCCACTTTCTAGCCGCAGGCGTCTATAGACGCACTGGGTGCCGCATCGTTGACATGCATGTATGTCTACCTATACAGCTATATACGAAAGAGCGTGTTCTACCGCTGCTGGCGGAAGACCGGGCGGGGGGTCACTGCCGGTTCGAACCCCCCTCCCTCCGGAAAACCGGGGGGGGTCACTACCGGTTCGAACCCCTCCCCCCCCCCAGTCCATCATGAAAAGGGGGGGGTCACTGCCGGTTCGAACCCCCCCCCCCCTCGAAAACGGGGGGGGGTCACTACCGGTTCGAACACCCCCCCCGGAAAACCGGGGGGGGGGGCGGACAGTAGTGGGGACGGTGGTGGTGGGGACAGTGGTGAGGGGACAGCGGGACAGTGGTGGGGACAGTGGTGGGGACGGTAGTGGTGGGGACAGTGGTGAGGACAATGGTGGGAACAGTGGGGACAGTGGGACAGTGGTGGACAGTGGGGATAGTCGGGCAGTGGTTGGGGTCGTGGAGAAAGTGCACCCATGGGGAGAGTGAAACCGTGGAGGGAACAGTGGTGGGGACAGTGGGGACAGTGCGACAGTGGTGGGGGCACTGGTGTGGACAGTAGGGACGGTGGTGGAACCAGTGGGGACAGTGGTGGTGAGGACAGTGGCGCTGGGAACAACAGTGGGGGATGCGGTGCGGACAGTGGTAGGGACCGGGAGTCGTTTGCTGGCGGTGAGGGGGGGGAGGGGTTCGAAAGGGGTTCGAACCGGTAGTTACCCCCCTCCGGTTTTCGAGGGGGGGGGGTCGAACCGGTAGTGACCCTCCCCGGTTTTCGAGGGGAAGGGGGGGGGTTAGGGGAGGGGGGGGGTTTTGCCAGGGGAGGGGAAGGGGGGTGGGGGGGGTTCCAGCAGGGGGGGGGGATTTTCGGGGGGGGGAGGGGACCCGACCCCCCAGCCGATAGTAAACAGGAGGCAGGAAACAGGACTGGAGAGACAAAAGGCCAAACAGCAAATAACTAACATAACACATGACAGCAGACCGAGCTCACCTTCGCAGCCTTGCGCCCCACACATATTACCTTCCCTGCCGACAAATTAGTTGCAGCTGAGCTCGAGCATGTGGCCGGTGAGGATGTCTGCTTCCTGTCGTGCCAGCTTGCCGTGTGATGCCCCTAGTCGGTTAGCTATGCCTGTGCTGCAGGGCCCTGCCTTGAGCATGTGTGTAGGCTGATGTGTGGTGTTCGGCGGATGCCCCCATCCGCCCCTCTTGCTTGCTATGCCCGTGCTGCAAGACCCTGCCCCGAGCACGTGAGCGTAGCCTTTTGCGCCCCGCCTGCGAGGGCACCACACGACGTGTCTCGGGGCCTCTGTGCCACACTGTGTACATGCCCCGCCTGACCGCCGCACTCCTGTCCAGGTGTGCGCCTACGAGAGGGGGACGTTGCCTCTGGGACACTGTGCCTGGTGTGCTTCGTCTAGGTTTTCACTTCTCTAAATACGGTTCGCCCGATTAACTTGCTACGCCTCGCGCAACACTGGCCTAATAATACGTATATACATATATACACGCACATATATGATATATATATATACATACCTGCATACATGCATACATATATTTATCTACATGTGATGCCGGGCTCCGGGCCCTCGGCCACCCCCCTTATGGGATTGGGACGAGACCACGACGACGACGATGATGACGACGCTGGCGGCGACGACGACGACGACGACGCCGACGCCGACGCCGACGCCGACGGCGGCGACGACGATGACGACGGCGACGACGACGACGACGGCGGCGGCGATGGCGGTGGCGGCGGCGGCGCCGACTTCCCGAGCCCTCCGACGATGACGACGGCGGCGGTGGCGACGACGACGACGACCTTTGGAGCTCCCCTGGAGCACCAAAGTACCACGCCACACGCCACACCCACAGCACCACACCACACCCACAGGTGGGGGGGGGTCATCGCGTGGGGGGGGGGGGGGGCGGGCCCGATGGCATCAGCATGAGGGGGTGGGGAGGGGTGGCGGGGACCCAGACCCTGGACCATATATTTATATATCTATAGAGATGGATAGATCGATCGATAGGAGGAGGAGGAGGAGGAAGGAGAGAGGAGGAGGAGGAGAGGAGGAGGGGAGAGGAGGAGGAGGAGGAGGAGGATCAGGAGCAGGAGGAGGAGGAAGAAGAGGACGAGGACGAGGACGAGGAGGAGGACGAGGAGGAGGAGGAGGAGGAGGAGGACGACGACGACGACGAGGACGACGAGGAGGAAGACGACGACGACGACGAAGACGACGACGACAGCGACGACGAGGAGGAAGAGGATCAGGAGAAGGAGGATCAGGAGGAGGAGGAGGATCAGGAGGAGGAGGAGGACGACGACGACGGTGGCGACGACGACGCCGACGCCCGCCGCGCAGGCGCAGCTTCGGCGCCCAGGGCTTCGCGGTCTGCGTGGCCGTGGCGTGGGGCGCCGCCCAGCTCGGCGCCGGGCCGCCCCGCGCGGAGAGTTGCGCCGCGCCGCTCGCCTCGGGCTGCGCGCCGGGTTGCGCCCGACGACTTCGGGGTGCGCGTCTGCTCTCGCGGGCGGCCAAGAGTCGGGGGTGGACAGACCTCCTACCCTGACACGTCGATTAGTGAATTGGCCATTTTCGGTTCGCGAGAGGGCGTCGCGGCCGTCATTTTTGCGGGTCCAGGTCCGTCGGTTTCGGTCCCAGGCCGTTTTCACTAAGGGGAGGTTTACTAAAGGGAGGTTTGTCCACCGCCGAAAGAGGGGGACGAAGGCCAGGGAGGGCGTAGATCTCATGGCCGGGGGCCTCTCGTCTCCGGCCTCGCGGAGCCAGCCCCGGGCTCCTGGGCCGCCGAGCGGCCCGGCATTCCGCAGCCGGCCCCATGGGAGGGGAAGCCGCATCGCAGAGCGCAAGACATTCGGGGCTGGCCAGCAGGGGTGTGATGAACAGGGAGGGTTGGATGTCATGGCCGGGGCCATGCTCTTTCCTCAGACTGCACTGCGCCTCTGCTTGTTGCAATGCGCCCCCTGGCTCCCCCCTGGGCCGCGCACATGCTCCGGGCCATGATTTGCGAATGCCCCTCTTGGACGCCCGCCTCATTGGACGCCCCCAGTATCCTAGGCCTGCCAGATGGGGTCGGAGTAGATAGAGTTAGAGGATCGTTCCGCATCGACGATGCGCGACTCGACATGGAGCCAGGGTTTCTCCACGTCGATGGCGCCGATGTGTCGCAGATTCATCCGATGCGGCACGATCCTCCGACTCCACCTGCTCGGGCCCCATCTGGGAGGCCTTTCTGCCTACGGTCAGGAACTTTGTGGCTCCGCGTGCCGCGCCGCCGGTTTTCCGGCCCACCACGCAACGGCGCGGCAGAAGTGAAGGGGCCCCAGGGCGCACACATAAACACACACAAATAAAAATATGCCCCATCTTTTCCTATATTTTCTGGGTTTTTGTCTTCCCCCCCACGTCCCATATTTTCCCATATTTTCCGGGGAATCGACGATTCATTGTGTCCGTGTGTTTTTTCCCTCCTGAAGAAGCCTGGCCCCCCCCCCCCAGGCGTTCACGCCTCGAGCCTCTGCCGGCCTCCCGCCCCGCGCAGAGCGGAGCGACACGCTGCCCGCTCTCGCACGGCACCGCGTCGGCGCCCCGGGGCCGCCGCGGCGACGCGGAGCAGGAGCTCCCGACCGCCGAGGGCCCACGTCCGAAGCACACACGAAAGAAAACGGCACGGGCATGCTGTCTCGGAGGCCGGAAAGGTTCCCGACCGCAGAGGCTTCGGACAACAACAAAAAGCGGCCCAGACATGCTCTCTCGGAAGCCGGGAAGGTTCCCGACCGCAGAGGGCCCACGGTCGAAGCACACGCAAAAAAACTGCACAGACATGCTTTCGCGGAGGCCCGCGAGGATGTCCTGGGTCAAGCCGGGCGTGTCTCCGTACAGGAGGAATCTTATTCAAAATCATTTTTAAAAAATAGTCTGGGGACGATATTCCGAGAATCTTCGATTATTTGTTGGGTAATGTTTGGCTATGTTAAATTTTCCCCCCAGAATCCGCCTGTAGGAGGACGTGCCCGACCTAATTCTTGGGTCGGCGCCAGGCCCCCCTCTCGGCGCCGGAGGCGCCGCTCCCAGGGAGCGGGAGGCGCTGGGCCGATCCGAGACATCCGCGCGGACCCGCGAGACATTTTCTGCTCACGCGGGCCCCGTTCCTCTTAGACAGCGGGTTCGGAAAGAGCGGGGACGACGATCTCGGGGGCGGAAAGGAGGGGGGGGATGACCAAGGGGGGGGGGTATACCGCGGCGTGGGCCATGACATTCCATCATGTCTCCTGGCGGCCGAACACCTCCTGTGGCGTTTTGCTCCGCGACGCCAGGATGTCCGGGCAGGCCGCAGGCCGTCGCACCCCGCGCGGCGGATCGGCGGGCCGCGCCTCCCGAAGGGAGCCGCTCCCTCCTACTGTGGCAGCCGGGGCCGCTCCTCGGCGCGCAGCCCCGCAGCCGCGCAGCGGGGGGCGTGCCCCGTGTGCTGGGACCGCTCGGCGCGGCGGGCGCGCCTGGAGCCGTGCGGGCACCCGGAGGGGGGGAGGGAGCGCAGCTCCGCCCCCTACCTCGCGATATTTCCCTTGGCTCCTCTCCTTCCGCCCCCCCCCCTCCCTCCTCGCTCCCTCCCTTCCCTCGTCCCTCCTCCTTCCCTCCTTCCCTCATCTTCTCCTCCCCTCCTCCCCTGTGTCCTCCTCCGCCCCCTCCTCCTTCCCTCCTTCTCTCCTCCCCTCCTTCCCATTCCTTCCCTTCTCGCTCTCGCCACTCCCTCCTTCCTCCTCCCTCCTCCTTCCCTCCTTCCCTCATCCCCTCCATCCCTCCTTGCCTCATCCCCTCTTCCCTCCTTCCCTCCTCCCTCCCTCCCTCCCTCACCCCTGATATCAGAGTGTCGTCCACCACCTGGGGGCCTGGGGGTGCCAGGGGGTGCCGGGACCGGGGTGGGGGGTATGAAATCCTGTCCTCACTTCCCTCGTCTCTCACGGGCGGGCCTCTCGGCGCCGCGGGCCTCGCGGCCGGATGCGCCTCGGGGTCCTGGCCGGGCCACCGCGCCGCCGCGCGCCTGGGTGCGCCTCCGACCAGCGTGCGTATGCAGTCAACATTGATCGTCGGGATGCGCGACTCTCCAGGGTTACGTGGCATCCTTCTGGACGCTCGAAATGGGTACGGAAAGAATGGGTACAATGCCCAACAACGAATGTTGTCCCAAACCGACAGCGGCCGCTGTTGGGCAGGCGGCATTCTGTCTCAAATGGACACAGGCCGCGGCGGCGTGGACAGCGGATCCTGTTCAAAATGAACAGGAACTGCTGTTGGGCATTGTACCCATTCTTTCCGTACCCATTTCGTTCGTGCAGAATCCTTGCCTTCTGTCCCATCCTTGGCCACTTTCGCTGGCCGCGCCCCGCTCGCAGAGTGTCGGCGTGGCCCTCTCCAAGGTCCTTTCACCCTCCTTATCGCGCATCCCTGCTATCCGTTTAGACTGTGCTCCGCCGTGTTTGTTCGGAGGCCTGGCGCTTCGTTAGGGCGGGGAGTTCTGCACACATCAACCGCCGCTGGCCAGGCCCATCCTGAGCCCGTGAGCGGTGGATATGCGTTGATCTCGTCGCCCTAGTCCTTGGCATCGCTCGGACGTGTGTATTTTTCCTTCGGCGAGGACCATCGAGGAGCATCCTTGATCATTTCGTGAAACAACCACGCACGAAACCGAAAGAAACACAGGAAGTGGACGTCCGAGCGATGGCCAGAGTCTTCAGCACGCAGCACGCTGATTGGTTCCCCACGGTGGCCGGTCATCTGACACATCTGTTTTGCTCCCCCGTTCCAACAAGGCCCCTGTCCTGGTATTGGTGTCCGTGCTGCCCTTCGCTGGAGTGACCTTTGGTGCTCGGATTTTTCGGGTGGCGCGGGGGGAGGTGGGGGCAAACCCAAAGCACGCAGGCCACCACTCCATGAAATCCGACGTCGCGAAAACATTGCAACATGGCGAGAAATCACGATGCGGAGCTTCGGACCCCATTTTTTTTCAATTCATTTTTCAAGCTGCATCGATCTGTGAGGGCCCCGGGGCGGAACCCCCCCCGGCTCGAAAAAAGGCCGCGCTGGGATCTCAGGGTGCAGCGATCGGCCGGTCGCGAAACCAGAGGGCCCCTCTTGCCTCTGAGGCCATTGCTGGGCCTGCTGCCCGCCCCCCGGTCAGGCACCAGCTCTGCCGGCTCTGCGCGCGGCGCCTGAAGGGCAAGCTCCCCAGCGGCGCGCAGATTGCCAGTTTGAAACATATCCCTATCCCTATGTTTGACATCACCTCACCTCGATGCCGATCTTAAGGATTCCCTCAGTTTCTGAGGGCCTATCCCTGAGATTGTCCTCGCTTTTTGCTCGCCCATCTTAGGGATAGGGATCAGTTCGAGGCTGGTCAGCAGGGGGTCTCCCCCCCCAGGGGGCGAGGGGGCGGGCGCTCCCGGATCGGTGCGGTGGAGCCGCGGGCCACGTGGGGGCAGGCTTGGCTCCGGAAGGGGAGATGCATCGACCCCGCGTGGCCCACAGAGCAGCGACAGGGGCCAGGCAGCCCTCGGTCGGGCCCGTCCCTCTACAGGAGGGATCTTCTAAGATAGGAAAAGAATAGTCAGGGGACGATTGTTCGGATATGTTTTTTTGTCATCTTGGAACATTTAAAAGCTACTTTTGATCTTCGTCCCAGATCCGCCTGTAGGAGGACGTGCCCGTCCGGATGGCAGCCCACACCCCGCCCAGGACCCTGCGGATCCCGCGCTCGGGGGCCACGCGCCCATCTGCTGGCGAAGTGTCGCCGATGCCAGGCCGATGCGTCCCCCCGTGAGCCAGCCCCACCCCCTTGTGCGTGCCGCCAGCATCGTTCCGAGGGGCCCTCCGTGGGCCGCCGCCCGATGCAGACCTGCGGCGCCCGCCGGCCTGTCATGTACTGCCGCTCGGTCTCTCGCGCGAGTGCTGCGCCGGGAGGCGGCCTCGCCCCCGGGGCTCGTCCGCGGCGAGGGCCCCGCCCCGTGGGCGCGACGAAGGCCTGGTCCTCGGGCCGGTAGCGCCCGGACCCCCGGCCGCCGTCCTCGGGAGGGCGATCGGGCCTTCCCCGGGCGCGCTCTCGGCGAGGCGCGGCTGCTGGAGTCAGGAGGAAAAGAAACACACAGACACAATGAATCCTCGATTCCCCCGAAAATGTGGGAAAACATGGGAATTGGGCGGGAAGACAGAATCCCAGAAAATATGGGAAAATATAGGGAACCTTTTTATTTGTGTGTATTTATTTGTGTGTCCTCGGGCCCCTTCATGGAGGGCTTCCCGGGGCTGCCAATGCCTCGAGGTATGATGCTTCCACCTGGATTTGCCTTGCTCGCCAGAGAGACTTCCGAGCACCGAGCAAGAGTACCGGAACTCGAGGGTTCTCGCGTGTCGGGCCCTGGGAGACACTCGCCCGACACTGTTTCGACACTGTTTCGACACTCTCTTGACACTTTTCCTGGTGCTCGAAATTATTTCTGGGATGTGGTCCTTAAGTACGGCGGGAGTGGCATAAGCCAAGGAAAAGAAAACCTTGAGATCCGGCGTCTCGGACAGAAACCTGCATCGCGAGAGGTCACCAATGGAGCCAAATACCTCGTGGCCTTCAGCCTATCCCGCCACCGTGCCTGGGTTGTGTGTCACTGGCGCCTCTTTGATGCTTGTTGGGGTCCGTTGGGCAGCCTCTGGGGAGCCTCTTGGAGGCAGTTGTGAAGCCTCTTGGGGCCTCATGGGGGCCGTTTGGGGGCCTCTCGGGGCTTCTTCGGGCCCTCTTGGGGGCCTCTTGGGGCCTCTTGGGGACTTCTTGGAGGCTTGCTGGTGATCTCGGGGGCTCCGTGGGGTGGATGGCTCGAAATCGTAGCTCGAGTTTCCCATCTTGGGCCCATCTTGGGGCCCTCTTGGGGGGCTGCCGTGGGCGCCTCTTGTGCCGTGTTGGGGCGATCTTGAGGACTTCTTGTGCCGTCTTGGACTCTGTGGAATCCCGAGAGGCGACCATGCTGATACATATACAGATAATATGTGTATAGATGCATGTATATTTAAATTGCACACACATATATATATACACATATAGGTATGCATGCACATACACATACACACATGCTTCCCCAACAAAATAGGGCGATTGCTGCCACTTGGGGTGCTTTCGGGACCCCCTTGAGGCGTCTTGTGGGTAGGCCGTCTTGAAGCCGCATTGGACCACTCTGGGGCCATCTTGGGCCTTCCGAGGCGGTTCCTGACAACACGCTCTCGAGGGTTCGGGACGGTCGTCTTAGGCCGGCCGAGGAGCTCCTCAGAGTTCCCGGGAGCATCTGGACAATCGTGGGCAGTCCCCGGGAAACCCAAGGAGCGGCTGGGAAATTGGGGGTCTTGGCCCTCAGAACCCTACGTCCCCTCTGCCTCTCGGGGCTGCAGGGCTGCATGAGCCTCCCGGGGGCACTCCACTGCGTGCTGCAGGCATGGCGGCGGACTCACTCTTGTGCCGCGCGGTGGAGCCGCGAGGGCCTCTGGGCCCGAGGCCAGGCGAGAGAAGCACTCGCAGCGCCCAGATCTCAGGGAACGTCCGAAAACCTCGTTCCCCAGACCCCCTTACGTTTCCCCCCCACACAAAACGTGGGCCCCAACAGGTCTGGCGCCAGAGGTGTTTCGCCATCCTCCTCCTCCTCCTCCTCCTCTCCTCCTCCTCCTCCTCCTCCTCCTCCTCTCCTCCCTCCTCCTCCTCCTCCTCCTCCTCCTCCCTCCTCCTCCTCTCTCCTCCTCCTCCTCCTCCCTCCCCTCCTCCCTCTCCTCCCTCCTCCTCCTCCTCCTTCCTCATCTCCTCCTCCTCCTCCTCCTCCTCCTCCTCCTCCTCCTCTCCTCTCCTCCTCCTCCTCCTCCTCCTCCTCCTCCTCCTCCTCCTCCTCCTCCTCCTCCTCCTCCTCCTCCTCTCTCCTCCTCCTCCTCCTCCTCCTCCACACCCCCAAAAACGTGGGCCCCCAAAGGTCTGGGCCCCCTTCGCGGGGACCAGTCTATCTCAGCCCCCGAGCCGTCTCTTGACGGTCCCAGGGCCTTGGCGAGGGCCCCCACGGGGCCGAAGAGGGTCCAAGCGCCTTTCTGTCTCGAAGGCTCCACGTCGCGAGGGGAGAAGAGCATGCTGCAACGCATGAGATGGACGCCCATGAGAAAAATGCATAGTTCGGCGGTGAGAAGGGGAGGGAGGTGAGGAGGAGAACGCCTTCTCAGAGGGCCCAGAAGACTCCTGGCCTTCCGAGAAGTTTTCTAAGCCCGACGGGGGCTCCGTGCACACGGGCCAGAGCGCCCGATCTTGGGGGGCCGCGGGAGGAGGGTCGGGCCGGACGAAAGGGGGGGATTGGGAAAGGGGGGGGTACGAAATCTGCTGCATGCAGCTGGTTTCGGCCCCACCGAGGGGCCCATTCCTCGATACATGGCCGAATCCGGCGCCAGGAGGCGCCGGGAAAATCAGCTACGTGAGCTGATTCTCAAACCCCCCTTTGCTATCCCCCCCTTTCGCCCAGCCCGAGAGGGGGGCCCGAGGCCAGAAGCGTCGATGGAGACGCCCCGGGAGACGCCTCCCCCCCAGGGAGGGCGGACGTCCCGCTTCCACCCGGGATCCTCGGAAGGCTTGGGCCGCTCCCACTTCGTTCGGGGCTCAAGAGACGGAGGTCAGTGCAAACGGGGGTCAGCCATAGCGCCCGACCTTGCAGGATCCTGCAGCTCCAGGGTCGCATTGGCTCGGGCTTGGGCGCAGGATCCTGCAGGATCCTGCAGGGCCAGGGTTATGATGTTCCAACATACTTTAGCCTAGACCGCCAGAAATAATTTCGAGCACCGGAAAACAGTACCGAACCTCGAGGGTTTTCACGTGTCGGGCCCTGGGAGACACTCGTCCGACACTGTTTCGACACTGTTTCGACACTTTTCTGGGTGCTCGAAATTATTTCTGGGATGTGGTCCTTAAGTACGATGGGAGCGACAGAAGGCCATGGGTGCATTGACCCGGGTTTGGGCGCAGGATCTTGCAGGATCCTGCAAGGCCCGACTGACCCGGGTCTGGATTGAGCCGGGTTGGAAGATCCTCGATTTGCGCGCCGCCGACAGCCGTGCCCCACCTGCGGCGCGCTGTGCGGGGGCGCCGCGAACCTGGAATGATGGGCTTGTTCTCCACCACCACCACCCTAAGTTGGAGGGTCCAAGGAGGTGGAGGATGAGGAGGAAGAAGAGGAGGAGGGCTCCCCCTCCCCCTCCTGCTTATAGTGGAGGCGGTGGAAAAATGGGCCCACCATGGACAGCGCGCTGCGGGCGGCCGCTTCGCCGGCGCGCGCGGCGTCCCCGGGAGGCGAGGAGCCGCCCTGCCCCCTCGCCTGGGGCGAGCTCGGCGAGCAGGGGCAAAGTTTGAGTCGGGGCGTGTCCCTCTACAGAAGGAATGCTCAAACGCAGTCCCACAAACATAGCCTGGGGACGATTTTTCTTCGACTACTGATCGATTGCTTTTCAGTTTTTTTGTTGTTTGCCGATGTTTGATCTCCCGCCGCCCAGCACCCGCCTGCAGGAGGACCTGCCCGACCTCAGGCTACATTTCGGGGGGGGGGGGGGTAGGCTCGGGGGGGGGGAGGGGGGACGCGCCGACCCCACGCCGACCCCAGGGGTGCTCGCGGGCCCTCGGGGGCCTTCGGAGGTTCCGGAGGGCGCTGCCGGAGCCCCGTGGGGGGGGTTTCCGTCCCGATGCGCCTCGTCGGGGGCGCCCGGGGGGTGCCGCCATCGCCCCCCCGGAAGGGCCGCCGGAGGCCCGAGCTGCGGCCCGAGAGCCATGTGCTGAGGGTGGGGTGCATCGGCCCTCGGATGCGGCGTCGCCCCAACAGAATGTGGCAGGCGTGGGCTGACGCCAGGAGGGGGTGCGCAGGAATCTGCCCCTGCACGCAGGGCGCCAGGGCGGTCGCGGGGGCGTCTCCAGCGATCTGCACTCTTGTTTTCTATAGGCGCACTGCAGCGCTGGGGAAAGCCATGTTTTAACTGTCTCCCCAAAATATGTTTTAAAACAGTTTTTAGACATTACTTCTACTATTATGTGCGTCGCCCCTCCAGGGGCGACGAGCGCACCGAGAAATCTTAGAGTATATGCGTCGCGGCGGGCGCTTTCTGGCCGCACCGCTCGGGAAACGATATACTAAAAGATGGGTTTACTACATGTTCGCGTCGGACGCGGGCCCACGAGGAGGACATATAGTATTAGTAAGTCCCTGTGCGTCCCACTAATCGCCAATGGATCGGCGAAAAGCTGCCCGCATGGCCCATCCCGCACAGGAGAGTGCGCATTCGTTATCGGGGGCATGCCGCCGATCCATCGGCGACGTATCGGCGATGTAAGCCCCAGGCATGCGATGTCTTGTTTTTTGTTCCGTTCGCGGCCCCAGGAAGCCCCGAAGCTTTTCTCGCTGCCGGTTTTTTTCAACCCGAGTCGTGTTTTGACTGTCCCAGGGCCCGACGAGACCCCCACGGGCCGAAAATGGCCAAAAGCCGTCCGTCGTTTTGTACAGTGGAGGCCCATGCCAAGAAGCACCCTGCTTGCCTCCAGGGTGCCCTTGGATTTCTTGGGTTTCGATGGTTTTGCGATGGAAAGCGCGACGCTCCCGCACCAAAAATAGATGGACATTCTGGGGTCTCAGGGTTGGGTTTCTTGTGGGAGGTTTCTTGTGGACTGGCCTCCATTGTATTTATCATCCGACGGGAGCATGCCTGCGGCTCGATGTCCCCCCCACCCTCCCCCCTTCCCCCCGCCTGAGCCGGTTCCCACGCGTGGCGATCCCCCCACAGGCGAGCCCCTGTACGGCCTGCGCCCGTTCCTGCGGGAGCCCGCGGCGTGACGCCCTGCGCACTCCAGACGTCCGGCGGCTCGAGCAAAAAGTCGAGACGTGACGAGTGTTCGCGCATGTTCCATCAAGGGAGGGAAAACCACCTGGACCGGACAATTGGCGTTTCCTGAGCGGCCCTGTGCGTTTGCCAAAAGCCCTGCCCTGATGGATTCCATCCTTGGGTGTGTTTACCAAACGGCTTCGCTTGTCGGGGTGGTGATTACGGGGGGGATTTTCTGCCCTCTATTTCCCCGGAACCGTCGACAAGCAAAGCTTCCCGGACAGGCAGCGTCTTGAGGTCTCGGCCCCTTGGGGGCCCTCGCCGGGCCCCTGGCCGTCCAAAGGACCGGCCCGTGGGGAGCGTGTCGGGGCTTCCCGGGGCCAGGCGTTCAAGTATATCTTGGCGAAGGACCCAACCACGTGGAGTTGTGAATGCTCTGAGGTTCTCAATAAGCGTGGGGGGGTACCCCCCCGACGGAGGTCAATCTCGCCTCGTCGTCGCGCCGCGACGGGGGTCGGAGCGCCTTCGGCGCGCGGTGGCTGCCCGCGACGGGGGTCGGTGTGGGGCTGTCGGCGGGGGTGACGCCCCCCCGACGCTTATTTAGAAACTCGGAGTACCGTTGTTGTGGGTATCGCCTTCGGTGGATCTCCTCATGGGGCCACGAAGCGTGTGAAGGGTGCGCCGACATGGGGCGGGGCCGCCACGCAGCCTTTGCCACTGGGGCCTTGGGCGGAGCTCCCTATGGGGCCACGGAACGTGCGAGGGGTGTGCCGCATCGGGTGCGGGTACGCCATGCGGACTGTGCCAATGAGACCTTGAGTGAAGCTCCTTCTGGGGCCACGGAACGTTTGGGGGGCGTGCCGAATCGGATGCGGGTCCGCCATGCGGACTGTGCCGCTGGGTCCTTCGGTGGAGCTCCCTATGGGGCCGCGAAACGTTTGAGGGTATGTCGTATCGGAAGCGGGTACGCCATGCGGACTGTGCCACTGGGGCCTTCGGTGGAGTTTCCTCTGGGGCCATGGAACGTGTGAGGGGCGTGCCGAAACGAGTGCGGGTCCGCCATGCGGACTGTGCCATTTGGGGGCTTTCGGTGGAGCTCGCCACGTGGCCACGAAGCGTGTGAGGGGTATGCCGAATCGGATACGGGAACGCCATGCGGACTGTGCCACTACGTCCTGCGTCGGAGCTCCCTATGGCCACGGAACGTGCGAGGGGCGTGCCGAGTCGGGTGCGGGTCCGCCATCGGGTGCGGATCCGCCATGCGGATTGTGCCTCTGGGGCCTTGGGCGGAGCTCCCTATTGGGCCACGGAACGTGTGAGGGGCGTGCCGAATCGGGTGCGGGTCCGCCATGCGGACTGTGCCAATGGGACCTTGAGTGGAGCTCCCTATGGGGCCACGGAGCGTGTGAGGGGTGTGCCGAGTCGGATGCGGGTCCGCCATGCGGACTGTGCCGCTGGGTCCTTCGGCAGAGCCCCCATATAGGGGCATGAAGTATGTGAGGCGTGTGCCTGCCTCTGGGGCCTACGACGGAGCTCCCTCTGGGGCCATGAAACGTGCTGATGCTGATGCTGATGATGCTGATGATGATTATGATGCTTATGATGATGCTGCTGATGCTGCTGATGATGATGCTGATGCTGATTATGACGATGGTGATGACGATGACGATGATGATGCTGATGCTGATGCTGACGATGATGATGCTGGTGATGCTGATGATGATTATGATGCTGACGATGCTGAGGATGCTGATGATGATGACGGTGCTGCTGCTGATGATGAAGTTGATGCTGAACATGATGATGATGATGAGGATGAGGATGAGGATGACAACGAACACGATGATGATGACAATGATGCAGATGATGATGGTGGTGCTGCTGCTGCTGCCGCTGATGATGATGATACTGACGATGGTTAGTATTGCGATGCTGATGCTGATTGTCATGATTATGATGATGATGGTGTTGATGGTGATGGTAATGGTGATACTGATGCTGCTGATGATGATGATGGTGATGATGTTGATGATGGTGATGATGCTGATGGTGATGGTAGTGATGATGCTGATGCTGATGATGCTGATGATTATGCCGGTGATTATGATACTGCTACTGCTGCTGCTGCTGCGGCTGCTGCTGATGATGATGATGATGATGAGGATGAGGATGAGGATGAGGATGAGGATGATGATGATGATGATGATGATGATGATGATGATGATGATGATGATGATGATGATGATGCTGATGATGATGATGATGATGATGATGATGATGATGCTGATGATGATGATGATGATGATGATGATGATGATGATGATGATGATGACGGGAGGAGGAGGGAGAGGGAGGGGGAAGGAAGGAACGCTGGGCGCTGTTTCTTCAAAACGACGACCCAACACCACAGGACGGTTGGGAACCAGTCAAGACATCGTGAGCCCGGGGCCTGCACCTTCAGCCTCTAGAGGGGCGGGTTTCGGTTCCGCCGGGGCCGCGAACAGAAGCTCGGGACGAAAAGCCAGCCCTGGGGAAGGGGTCGAGCCCTCGTGAGCGACGCCATCAAGCGGGGCCGGCCGCGCGGACACTCACGCGCAAGCCTCCCGCGGGAGGTCGCGCGCGAGCGCCCTTTTCTCCGTGCCGTCTGCACGGCGTTGGCCTGCGTGAGCCGCGGCGTGAGATCGCTGTGTCCTTGGCATCGCTCGGACGTGTGCATTTTTCCTTCGGCGAGGACCATCAAGGAGCATCCTTGATCATTTGGCGAAAAAACACGCACGAAACCGAAAAAAGCACGGAATGGACGTCCGAGCGATGCCCAGTGTCTGCTCGCGGCCCGACTGCATGAGCGTGTTTCTTTATTGCTTGTGGCATAAGGGGCACTACAGCCTCCGACCCCCCCCCCCTTCCCCCTTCCTATCACGTAACGCCCCTCCCCCCCCAGTGCGCTCCGGGCACTGCTGCCGTGCGCATCGGGCACACGGCGGAGGGGAGGCGTCACATTCTACCCCCCCCCCGGCCCCCTCCCCCCCCCATAATGCCCATCATCGCCGAAAATAAAGAAACGCGCTCTGGGGACCGTTTCGTTTCGTCGCCCGTGCCCTGGTCCATTCGAGCCGCTGGACGTCTGGCACACTGCGGGCGGCGGGGGCCCCCCCATGGGCCGCGACCTGCCGTCCGGCCGGCCAACGTTCGGCCTCCAGACCTCCGATGGCGTGGTCTTGGTTTTCAAGCAGTGGCGAAGCGTCCTGGCGTGCCTCTTGGCCTACCAAGCAATGTTCTGAGAGCCTGATGTGGTTTCCACGACATGTCCTTAGAACATTTCTGGCTGGGACTGTCTTGTTTTAACACATCGGGTTCATGCTCTGAGAACATCTGTTCTTGTTCTTAGAACATTTTTGGTTTCTAAGAGAATGTCGTGGTGGGCCTATACGAATGCCGGGACGGTCGGCCCGTGCTCAAGTGGTCTTGGTTTGCCCACCCATCCTGGGGTCTCGGGTCCTCGCTTTGCGCTGCCGCGCTCCACTCCTCCTTCTCCCGCTGCCCTCTCCTCCCCTCGGTATCGTTCGGACGTGTGCACATTTTCTCGGCGAGGACCATCGAGGAGCATGCTGGATCACTTACCCCCAGAAGCGCACGAAACCGAAAACTGCACGGGGAATGGACGTCCAAGCCGTGGCAAGTCCCTCCTCCCATGCCTGCCTCTGCCCTCCGCATGTCCATATCGGGGGCAGGGTCCGCATGCGTCCGCCCGCCCGTTTGGGCACACCCTTCATCATCATCGTGCCTCCACAGGAGGCTCCACCGAATGCCCAAGCGGCAGGGTCCGCATGCGTGTCCCCGCCTGGAGCTCCACCGAAGGCCTCAGTGGCAGGGTCCGCATGCGTCCCCCCGCTCATTTCGGCACACCCCTCACGAGGATCGTGGCCGCAAAGGGAGCTCCAACGAAGGCCTCAGTGGCAGGGTCCGTATGTGTGTCCCCGCCCATTCCGGCACACCCCTCACCAGGATCGTGGCCGCAAAGGGAGTTTCACAGAAGGCTCCAGTGGCAGGGTCCGCATGCGTTCCCCCACTTATTTCGGCACATCCCGCCTCACGAGGAGGATCGTGTCTCCAAAGGAAGCTCCACAGAATGCCCAAGCGGTGGGGTCCGCATGCGTGTCCCAGCCTGGAGCTCCACCGAGGGCCTCAGTGGCAGGGTCCGCATGCGTCCCCCCGCTCATTTCGGCACACCCCTCACGAGAATCGTGGCCGCAAAGGGAGCTCCAACGAAGGCCTCAGTGGCAGGGTCCGCATGCGTGTCCCCACCCATCCCAGCACACCCCTCACCAGGATCGTGGCCGCGAAGGGAGCTCCACCGAAGGCTCCAATGGCAGGGTTCGCATTCGTCCCCCCACCTATTTGGACACACCTCTAACGATGATCGTGGCCACAACGGGAGCTTCACCGATGGCCCGAGGGGCAGGGCTCGCACGGCGCCGCCTTCGCCAGGACATGTGCCTCAGTCCGTCCTTTCCCTCGTCCCCGTTTGGTTTCCGGTTGCCTCGTGGCACTCGCAGCTGCAGATGGTCGGGCCCCTTGCCAGGGTTCATTGTAGGGGCACAGACAGTGACAATGACAATTGTAATTGTGGGGGTAATTGTAAGCAGAACAACTCGGAGGCCTGCGCAGATTTCTCGGATCGGCGCTGGACCTCTCTTCAGGGCGTGCGGAGCGAGAGCCGGAGGCGAGGCCAGGGGTCCCCGGCGCCGACCCGAGGAGTCCGCGCGGACCTCTCCGAGTTGTCATGCTCATGCCACTGCCTGTTCCCCTGCAGTTTCGCCCTTCTCTCCCCCCCCGCGGCCGCCCCGCCCTGCCTTTTCCCTCCTGCATGCCGGCCAGTTCGCTTTGTAGTGCCCCTGCATCGCTGCCACGCTGGAGCGGATTGTCCCGCCTCGCCGCCGACGAATTACGCTACCGAGGAACCGCACATAGTTACTTATTGCGAAGGCCTTACGGCCAGTGCCGCCGACCC